CTTCCGTTTTTAACGCTGGCATCATGGAAAGTAAATCGTTGTGTCTGAACACCATGACCAGTTATGCCGCGGATTAGTGTACGCCTGGCGTTAGTTAAGCTACTGTTATTCCGTGAGTCTGAACATAGCCTTATACTAAATCAGGCCTGTACACAGGTTTTTATTGGGTAGGTGCAAATTTGTGGAAGGTGGACGAAAATGACTATGGGCTACCAAGCGACAGAACCTTTTTGAGGTTGAGTGGGCGGAGCTCCATTGAACCCAGATATTTTTGATATTTTGAGGTCTTAATACATTTTGAAGATATAATATAAACAGTGTTAAACGTTTTTGTCAGTGGCAGTCCAGGAAATGGGGGGAGGGGGCAGGGACACGACTTCATAGATGGAGGTCGATACACAGTATCATAGTCCCACATTTTCATAAATTTTGTATTGAACAGTCATTTAATTTCTGTGACATAATTATCCAAAGATAGTTTCTGTTTCTGAGATTTAAAAATTCCCTAATTTCCATTCTTCTTCATCAACATGCTTTCTCATTCCAAAATATTTGATTTTCCAAAGTTAAAATTCAAATTACATTTGTGTAGGTTTACCTTAAATAATTAGGGATCTCCCTGTATTATGTTTTGTGAAACCCTCAAAAACAGTCGCCAATCAATTGTATTGCGTGGGTCTATAAACTTGGCATATTTATTGCCAAATCAAACTATAATTCACTAAAATTATTAAATATAAATACTTTTTCAAAATGTAAAAATAAAAGCAATAATCCTACATCTATATAACCATAATATGCATATATAAGTTATTATAAAACAATGAATGTTGTTATCAAAATGGAAAACAAGAGAAAATATGCATATACTTAATTGGCTATCAATTGCTATAAATACTTTTACATTTCGAAATTTATTAAAAGTTCTAACTGTTTAAAGTTTGTACCTAAAAATCAATTACCTTTGTTTACCTACCATTTAAAATAAAACATGTTGTACAGACTTCCCTCAGAATACAGACTAATTGTTATGGCTAAATATTTTCAATTAAAAATGTTTCCCTGCTACTGATTAGCGAAACTTCAATTTTGCTAATCATATTAATAACGACAATATTACTATGGATTTATTTCCCCCAGCCCTGAGATCATGTTCTAATGACCTATAACTGATGTCTGAAAAGAATTTTTACTAAAATCGCAAAATGGCCAATGGTCAATGGTTGTACATTTCTATGAGCTTCCTATTATGACTACAATAGGCATTATAATAGGCTTTTATGATTTGTTACATGAAATAAAATATTTCACAAGTCTTGCAAACACCATTACATTTTACATAAACCATGTCAAATTATTTTGGTAGACATAACTTTATTAGCATTTTCAGTTGCCTTGAATCGCTAGAATATAGAGCATGTGTGCAACTGAGAGCAACTGGGTATTTTCAGTTGCTTTCAATCGCAGGAGCACTTATGTAGCCTTCAGTCGCACAAATCTCAGTGCTCTCAGTTGGTCACAGTTGCTTGCCAGTTGCAAAAGTTCAATTGATGTCAGTTGAGTTGAGTCGTAGGGGCAACATAAGCCCGGCTTAAGGCCTATACCCATGTTCTCTCCAACTAAGGGAGAAAATTCTGCTTCATTGTTCAAAAAGGTGTCGATATTTAAAGTTTTTTTTTAGATTGTTGTAGTTGTTGTGGTACAATGAAAAAAAATGTATGTGTCCCCTTAATAAGGGTTACAATGAAAAGAATTTAAGTATCCTGTTAATAGGGGTTATTTGACCATTTGGCACATTATTGCCGGGAATGGGGCTTTAATATTATTATTATGTATCTATCCTAAACAATAATTGTCAAAAATATTTTTTAATTCAAGGATTTCAATTCAAGATGGCTACCAGTAAGTTGGATCAATTTCTGGAAAATGTTGATGACAAGGTCTTGGAGTGTACCATCTGTTTTAAGAGACTTCAAAATCCAAAATCCCTCAACTGCCTCCATAGTTTCTGTTTGGCATGCCTGGAAGATTGGGTTAAGACTAAGGGTCAGCT